GGGTAGAAAATGCTTTATTACTCTCTGCTAAGAGTGTAAGTGATTGTCGCTTAGCTTAGATTATCATCAAGATATTAACGGTACTTTCTTTGAAAAGTGGTTTGAGCAGAAATTACTACCTAAATTAAAAAGAAATAGCGTTATTAGTTTGGATAATGCTCCGTATCATTGTAGACTAAACAGTAAAATTCCAAACACTAATTCAAACAAAGCTGAAATTCTAGAATTTTTATCAAAACATGAAATATATTCTATGAATTCTCACACAAAAAAAACTTGTAGAACTATTAAAATTAGTTAAATGCGAAAAAAAATTATGTAATCGACAGGCTAGCTAAGAATTATGGCCTTAAAGTATTAAGATTACCTCCTTACTATTGCGTACTGAATCCAATAGAATTGTTGTAGTCTCAATTAAAAAATAATGTGAGGAAAAATAATAATTCTCCTAAATCATTTTCAATTGTTGTAGATTTAATTAAGACTGAATGTAATGATATTACAGCAGATAATTGGCAAAAATGTATAGAACATGTCAAAAAATTACAAGAAAAATACTTACCGTTCCAAAACAATATAAATAGAGTAGTTATAAATTTAAACGATAGCGATGCTAGTGATACCGATTTAGATGTAGATGAAAATTAAATTTAAAATTATTTTTATTTGTATTTTTTCACTATGTTAAATATATATTTTAATATAAAAGTATTACTTATATGTATTTTTCTTTTACTTTGTGGGATTGCCGTAATTTTGATAAAATATATCAGTATATAAGTCCGACCCTGTATACAACTATATTATAGAAGATTAAATCCGAAATATCTTGCAACGAACAGTATAACATACATTAACTAAACTTTCCATGATAGAAAACTAAATCTAAATATCTAAAGAAACACTTTACGCGTGGCAACCGCGCCGCATAAAATTTTCGGACTGTTAATGCTCATAAATTTTGCCCGCTAGCGCATATTAATTAATAAGTTATAAGTTTATATTTGCTACAAGGCTATAACATAACACAGCACACAGCTAGTGTTCGCGATAAAGAATGAAGTGGATTATACTCTTAATTTCAAGCGTCCCCCTTTCGACAGAAAATGGTTTTCTTATTTTTTCCTTTTCACCCTCTTCAGTAAAACGCTTACTGCGGAAAATATTGGTGTAGGTCGGGGATAATTCATGTTATTATTAACACACGATTTCTTCTTTCCGGTTATATAGAAAAGATGCGTGACTCTTGTAACCGCTTTTTTTTTCTATTTATGGTCTTGTGGGTTTAGAATAAAATAGTTTGAATTAAAGACACACATGGAAATATATATACAGGGTGTGCCAAAACAAGCGGGACAATCGAATATTTCACGAACTATAGATCGGATTGGAAAACATAAAAAAATATGTTTAGTATTTTCACGAAATTTTCAAAAATTTATCGAATGGCAGTAAACACGACTCCCTAGCCCCAGTCCCATGATTGAAGTGGGAGAAAACTTTAATATATTAAATGGGAACCCCTATTTTTTTATTTCAGATTAGTATTTCTCATAAAAACACACTCTGTGCCAAAATTAACCGGCCACCTTAAAAATGGGTAATTTTTGATGTCTTATATCTCCTAAACCTGTTGTCCGATTGAAGTGATTTTTTTATTATGTTACAGCCTTATTCCTTGACAATATCGTTATAATGATATGGTTGCTAAACTAAATTTTCATTGTATACCGGGTGTACGAATTAAACTGTGTTTTTTTCTTAAAGTTTGCATCACCCTGTGGAATATTCTAGCATTTATAAAATATTGAAATTAAAACCTAACTATAGCTTCATGTTTTCTCAACATTTTGTTTTTGATTCATTCGCTTATGTTGGATAATACAAAAGTTAGGTAGTTTAACAACTAGTCATGTTTTTCATCAATACACACTATTTAACTCACCAACAAAATTAACCCCACCAGCTTTATTATTGTTTTGTTTACATTACCTGTGACAGTTTGTTTCCTAAATTTGTGTTATCGAAGGATTTTTGGCATATAGTCGTTGTACGATATTGCTGCAAATCTGTTTTCCGTGTTAATAATAATTCTTGAACACTTTGCAATTAAAATTAAATTTGTAATTAAAATTAACAATTAAAATTGTAATTTTCTTTCATTGTGAGCGAATATTGTTTAAGTTGTAATTTTAGTGCTTATTTATTAATTGATGGATTCGACCGTTACTTGATGGAAATTCATTTTATGTAACAATAAAACACTGAAAACTTTGTTTTCAAATTTCCACAAAATTTATTTTAAATATTATCACTACAACTGTTTCGGCTGATTGCCTTTCTCAAGTGATCTATTTTGGCTTGGGTTTACAAATTTATAGTCTCTAATGAATAAGGTTGAGGAGGGGAGAACTGTTTGTCTCAAGTTGGTCATTCAGAATTATATCTGTGTTTTTTAATTTGTTGATTTCCATAGATTCTAACAAAGATAGCTTAAGGCCTTTATTTTGAATGTGAAGAATTTTAAATTTGTCATTAAAAGAATGATTATGATCTAGAAGGTGAAGTGCGTATGTCGAATCTGTTTTTCTATTCTTGAAAGCCCTTTTATGTTCTGCTATTCGTTTATCAAAGTTTCTACCAGTTTGACCGATGTAAGTTTTTGGGCAGTCGCCACATTGAAGTTTGTACACACCACTATTTAGGTGATTTTTATTTTGGCTCTTGTTATTTTTAATATATTTGCCTAGGTTGTTATTTGTTCGGAAAGCTGGTGTTATTCCTTTCTTTTTTATGTGTTTTTCAAAACATCCCGTATTCAAACGGTTTTTTATATTGGTGGAGGTAAGTAGACGACGTACTGGTATGTTTCACAGGAACTAACAGGCAACTCGACCAATTTTTATCGTATATTAATTCACTTCATAGTCATATTGAATTTACAATAGAAACAGAACAAAATCAATCCATAAATTTTTTAGATTTAAAAATTAGCAGACTTCAAAACAAACATGACTTCATATTTCATAAACCTACCCATACTGACACGACTATACACAATTCGTCATCCCATCCAACACAACATAAACTGGCAGCTTATCATAGTATGTTACATAGATTAACAGAAATTCCGATGTCAAAATACAACTTTGAGACAGAATTAAATATAATTAAGCAAATAGCAGTAAAACAACGGATACAACGAAAAAAACAATTAATAAACTGTTACATCAAAAACTACACAAGAAAGCCCTGAAATTAGTATATCCACCACCAGAGAAAAAACCTAGTACCCTCTGATCGATTACATATACAGGCAAAAAAACAACAAAAATTGCCAAACACATAAAAAAGAAAGGAATAACACCAGCTTTCCGAACAAATATCAACCTAGACAAATATATAAAAAATAACAAGAGCCAAAATAAAAAACACCTAAATAGTGGTGTGTACAAACTTCAATGTGGCGACTGCCCAAAAACTTACATCGGTCAAACTGGTAGAAACTTTGATAAACGAATAGCAGAACATAAAAGGGCTTTCAAGAATAGAAAAACAGATTCGACATACGCACTTCACCTTCTAGATCATAATCATTCTTTTAATGACAAATTTAAAATTCTTCACATTCAAAATAAAGGCCTTAAGCTATCTTTGTTAGAATCTATGGAAATCAACAAATTAAAAAACACAGATATAATTCTGAATGACCAACTTGAGACAAACAGTTCTCCCCTCCTCAACATATTTCATTAGACACTATAAAGTGTAAACGCATGCCAAAAATAGATCACTTGAGAAAGGCAATCAGCCGAAACAGTTGTAGTGATAATATTTAAAATAAATTTTGTGGAAATTTGAAAACAAAGTTTTCAGTGTTTTATTGCTTATTTATTGTTTGTGATTTTTAAAATGCCACTCGTTCCAACTGGTGCCGCTAGGGTAGTGACTTTAGTTGATGCTGGTTACAGTCCACGTCATATCGCTGGTATACTCGATGTACCCAGAACTACGGTAATGCCATCAGACAATTTCGGGAGACAGGATCGTACAACCGCAGGCCAGGTCAAGGCCGAAAACGATGCACTTCAGTTCGAGATAACCGCTTCATTGTCACTAAAGTATTGAGAAATCGCTTTTGCACCGCTCCTGAAGTTCGTAGGTCTCTTCTAGAGGCGAGAAGCCTAGTGTGAGTAAACAAACGATTAGAAGAAGACTGTCAAAAATATACTTTTCGTCCAGCTTGCGCAGCACAACTGCTCTAACAACACCGTAAGGCTAGACTTCATTTTGCGCGAGAATATGCTAACTGGACTATGGCAGAATGGAAGAATATACTATTCTCAAATGAGAGCAGAATAGCCCTGAAAGGTCCAGATGGACGCAAACGTGTCTATAGGCGTCAAAATGAAAGGTTTGCTGCATGCGCTATAACCGAAACACTGGCTTACCGAGGAGGGTCAATAATGATTTGGGGAGGTATTTCTTACGAAGCGCGTACTGATCTTATTGTATTCGGTAGAGTGAATGTGAATGCCCAAGTATACGTACAAGAAGTTCTCCAAGACCATGTCATGCCTTTTGCACCATTCATTGGTGATAAATTCAGAATAATGCATCACAATGGACGTTGCCATACAGCAAGATCTACCTGTGAGTACCTTAATGAGGTCGGGATTAAGTTCTACCATGGCCAGACAACGCTCCTGTTGCCGACAAGAATGTAGCATAGAATAATTTTAAACTGTTTGTCCTTGTTTTAGTGTAGTGTTATGTACAATTTATGTTTATAATTTCATGTTTATTACATTCTGCGCTTGCTGGAGAGCCCAAATTTGACGAAATGCCCCTGATGATGCTGTAGAAAGCGAAAGTACTTGGGCAAGTATTGATGATTAAAATTGTGCTCGATATCTGACTTTAATTTTTCAAAGGGAAAAATATGTTAAATATAAAGATAAAGCGCATGCATAATGCTAGATTTAAAAAAAGGTACTCACCTGGTAAAGGCAAACCGGAATTTAGAAGATAAGGCTTAACAGAGGCGGGAGCCACGTCTAATGGAGTCTTCCCTTTAGAATTTTTTGCGTATATATCTGCACCCTTTTCCACTAACAGCTTGACAAGTTTGAGATGTCCATTGACAGCTGCGTCATGGAGAGGAGTGTCATTATCCAAACCGCGTGCGTTTACGTTGGCACCCGATTGGACAAGACGAAAGGCCACTTCGTACCACCCATGATTGCAGGCTTCATGTAGAGGAGTCCAACCTGGAAAACAATAAATGTTAACACGGTATTAAAAGTTAGAATATTCCACAGGATGATGCAAACTTTAAGAAAAAACACAGTTTAATTCGTACACCCGGTATAGAATGAAAATTTACCTGTTTAGCAACCATATTATTATAACGATATTGTCAAGGAATAAGGCTATATGACATATTAAAAAAATCACTTAAAACCATCGAGTTAGAATCTATGGAGAAGCTATTAGCATATTAAAGTATGTATTAAAAACGGCATAGGTAGGAGTGGCTCACCATAATACCAATATGGCGGTGATATCAGAGCCAGACTCAATAATAATAAAACTACTATACAAATATGACTAGTTATTCAGAAGATTTAATCATAATCTAAAAAAGTGCAATACATTTTTAATACACTATGATTTATTTATCCCGCGGTAAACACTAAAAACACGATATTATTATACATAAAGATAAATTAATACAGTCAAATAGTATTAATTTATTCTCTGAAGTGCGGGCCGTTACTTTGTTTACATATTTATATACTAACCTGTGGAACGATATTCCTGAAGATTTTTTATTAACATTACTTCTGCTACTGCAACTACGTTGAGAACAAGAAACCATTATTATGCACTATCACAATATATTACAGTTTCTATAAAAGTATTATAAAACTGAAAATATTCGAAAACAACAAATATAACCAAACATATAAGATCTGTCAAAAGTTTCAAAACAGTAATACCAATATGGCCGAAGTGGGGTCGTTTTTAGTCACGTGATGCCCTCTCCATAGATTCTAACTCGATGCTTAAAACGGACAACAAGTTTAGGAGATATAAGGCATCAAAAATTACCCATTTTTAAGGTGGCCGGTTAATTTTGGCCCAGAGTGTATTAAGGTGAATAGAAGTAAAAAATTTTGAATAATATATATTTCAACTTTTCCACTTATTAATACAAATTTGTTGAATGCTTACACAACTGATTCACTTTGGCTGACTTTGTGCAAAACAAAATTCTATAGTGCTATAAGTAGAAACAAAAAATAAATACCTGCTATTTAGGGTAAAATTAAATAACTTGTGTGACAATTAATTTAAAACTGCATATGGCCAATATACGTTACATGTGGATCATATTTTTTGTTATAGTCATCCTACTACAGTTAATAGCAGAGCAGAAAATAACTGTTTTTTTTAGGCTTATTGTAAACAGTTTAAAAACTGTTAAATTAAACGATTTATCAGATGTTCTTGCTATATTGTCAACAGTCGAGGTAAGGGGAACAGACGAGGGGGAAAAGTAACCACCAACTATTCTTGGAAGTTGCAGTTAAAAAGCTAGCCAGAAACAAATAAAGCGGAATAGATAAGCTCCCAGCTAAACTATATAAATAAGGTGGCTATAAATATATGTGGTGGCTATATAAATAAGGTATTAGTTTTCCAAATCCTGCCCATGCGAATCTTGCTCTTCTATTTTCCGCATTATGGTTCTCTTTGTCAAGTTTCAGAATTTGGCCTAGCTATATTCTTGGACTTATTCTACCTCATTGCCATTTACAGCTGTGCATCTGGAGTCGTCTCAAGTTGTAATTGTTTTTGTTTTTGTCATATTCATTTTGTCGACGTATTGTGACCTGCCTGCGAGTTTTTCTACCATAGTTTTGCAGTTCCTCGAATGTGCTCGCTATAATCACGATGTCGTCAGCGAATTTGACGCGGTTTAACTTATTGCCATTAACGTTGATGCCATATGTTGACTAATTTGTAATTTTGAATGCGTCTTCCATGGCTAGATTAAACAGCATATCATAATTTAGTAATAATCACGTCCTTGAAGACTTTTGCATAACTACTGGGTACATTTTCATTTTCATTTTCATGCATATATATGAAAATGCCACAACAACCATAAGTCTATATTCTGCAACTAATAAATAAAAATAAAAAGGGGAGTCAGACAAGGTGATACCATGTCACCAAAGCTGTTCATTACCGTTCTTGAGTATGCATTTAAAAAACTAACATGGCAACAGAAAGGAATATCCATCGATGGAGAAAGATTAAACCATCTACGTTTTGCGGAGGATATCGTGCTTCTGTCAGATAATCTGGGAGAGATCAAAGACATGCTCCAAGAACTGAATGACATACTACAAGAAACTGGGCTGGAGATAAATTTCGAGAAAACCAAAATGATGACCAATATGGTTCCCAGCGAAGAGATACAGATCAATAACAACAAGGTAGAATTAATCGATAAATACACATACTTGGGTCATGAAATTAGAATAACCAGAGAAAACCAAACCTGCGAGCTAAATAGACGAATCATGTTGGGATGGGCGGCATATGGACGGATGAGAGACATTTTTAAAACAAATATCCTAATTCACCTGAAAAGGAAGGCATTTAACCAATGCATCTTACCAGTCTTGACCTACGGAGCAGAGACCTTAACTTTAACGAAAGCTACTGCCGAAAAACTGAGGGTAACACAAAGGCGAATGGAGAGATCAATGCTGGGCCTGACCTTGAAAGATCGCGTAAGAAATGAGGAAATACGCCGACGAACTGGCGTAGACGATATTATACTGGGCTGGACATGTTGCTAGAATGGAAGACGGAAGATGGACGAAGAGATTATTGGAGTGGAGACCAAGAGCCGACAAGCGAGGTCGAGGCAGACCACTCACCCGATAGACCGACGACCTAAGGAGGATAGAAATAAACTGGATTGCAGCAGCTAGAGATAGAGAGAACTGGAGACGTTTGGAGGAGGCCTATATCCAACAATGGATGTGAAAATTCGGCTGGATGATGACTGGGTACATGGCGTACAATGGATGTAAGTAACGTAACAGCCAAGAGAAGGTAATCGGAGAGTTTTTGGTGCCTTAAAAGTGGAACTTACAGTAGACCCCCTAGATAAAAATTAGGTAGTTCAGAAAGTACCAAATGAAAAAGTATATAAAGTACATCCATTACAAGGAAACTACATTTAATATATCTACCAACAACGATTACAATAATGCTTACAGGCATTCACAACAAGAGAACATAAATCAACAGTAGAACGACATAAAAAAATGCACCACAAGAGCTGCAAAGTAATGAAGTAATTGGTAAGAAAAAGAAAAACTAGTCTAGAAAATTGGTCAGTAAATATAGGTAAAGGCAATAAAAGAAGAACATAAGTCGTTCTTGAATACACTCCACAACAATACAAATGAAGCTAGGTAACAAGTAGAAAAACGTAATAAAGCAAAAAAGCTAGGTAACAAGTAGAAAAACGTAATAAAGCAAAAAATATTGTCAGAAAAGCACATCAGGAGTCTTGGGATAGACTTACATCCAATAATGAAAGTACGTATCCGAACTCATTACGTTATAGCCCCCATAATACTCTCTGAGATATATCAAACTGATCACCGGCACCATTTGGAGACCATTAAACTCATCACCGCAGATAGGTAAACTCATCACCAGCATTTTTGCCCCAGGGTGCTAGATTTTAATGTCGAAGATTGCCTGTTACCTGTTCAACTTCTTGTTTGCATGGTAATCTATTAAATTCAAAAATTAGCTTTAAAATTTAACTGATGTATTTATATCGGGTGTCTTCCAGTGAGTGGTCTATTACTCGTATCTGCCAATCTAAATAGATTTGATATCTGAAAATTCAGCTGCATAGGATTTTGATAGTGAACTTAATGAAAATATTTGTGAGCATGTTTTATGAGTATCATAGAAGTAAATCAAAGAAGAAGAAGAAACGCAGGTATTGGATACATTCTATAGTAAATGAATGAAAAAATAAAGGAACATTTTACACCTTAGTTAACGAAGTTCTTCCCATGTTTGTTTTTTTTTTCTTCTTTCTTTTATTCGAATAATTATCTGAGCGCATATCCCAAATTGCTGACCGTGTGTGAATTTCGGTAATTAATTTATCGATGTCTACAGCTTCTATAATATGTATATACAAAATTTGGCAAAGACTCACAAAAGTAACCAAATAAAACCGCTGCAAAACAGTCACACGTCTTTGTTGAAGCACGAGATATCTATTACTGATGTGCCGCCGGAAGTCATAAAACCGCAGACGACGCATGATACTCAGTATGGGCCGCGCGGCGGCCGACGCGGCAAGCTGACGAACGACAGCTCGTCTATGTTGCACAACATAAGTACTATAGACGAGAGACCGCTTTCAACGCCGATGGGGCGCACGCCACTCTGTCTGTGTTTAACCTAAATAGTATAGTGGCGAGTAGTATAGTGGCCTTAAAGCGGCCACTACACGACTCGCGAAGTTGATCGAAGTTCAGTGAGTACGAAAGTGTAGACAGGTACTTCATCGTTTTACATTCTGGGCCAGAATTGATAAGATCACCAAGCGAAATACTCCAACTGACTTGTTGACCGATTCTTGCTAAACAGATAAGGGAATGCTATTGCCAGTGTCATTAACATAAACGGAATGTCACTAGACATTTCTCTACAGCTCAATTATTGTTTACATTTATAATAAATAATCTAATTATTGGCACTAATGTATTACAGATTGTTAATAAATATCGAAATTAAAAAAAAAATCTTTTTAAATAGTTACCGAGTATAAATCTCCTCCATTTAACCATCGTTTAATAAGTTTTTACTGATAAGAGATGTTAGACTCTCCATTCGCAAATAGCACTACATATTATTATGTATTTGGAAGACGAATGATTACAGCCCAAAGTCTTAGTCACAACGTAACAAGGAACTGCTGATAACAACATTTAATACACGATTAATAGATTTGAAGCAATATTTACTGCCTGCATTAAAAATATTTTATGACTGAATAAGAAATGCATCAACTGGTAAGATATTTCAAGGTGCGAAAATCGATATCTTAATAATAACAAAAGATAAAGAATTATTAACATTTAAAATTTTATGTTCTTAATGTTTAAACGAGACTAAACGGATATTTTAGCGTTAAATTCAAACAATAACTCCA